TGCCCGTATTTAAGCTTGAGTTTTGTTTTGTCTTTGTTTCTGGTAGATCAGCACATTCCTGCAAGAAGGAATGGGCATGTGATTCCAGGAAAGCCAGCAGGGGGCAGTATTAGGCAGTAGTACTGGTTTTTTCCCCCTTCCCCATTGCCTGGCAGACAGATGGGCTCGTTCTCAGAATAAACCAAAATCAGACCCAAATACTAAAACCATGCAGAATCTTATTATTTGTGATGGATGCCGTTAGCAGTGTGTTCAGAGCGATGTTTTAACCGAGCTAGGGGGAGCTTGCCAAGTCCTATTGAAACTACCCAACCCTCGCTGCCTCCTGCTGTCTGATGCTTTCCTTTTGCAACCTGAGATTGGTAGGAAACAAAGAACGATTCTGGGTTGCATCATCTCTGGGACTTTCAAACCAAATTACAACCATCCCCAGCAATGTATTTTCTGTCTTGCAGCTCTTTCCTGCCCAATTGGTCTCAGGCAGCACACATCTCTTTTCCCCCCTCTGCAATAAAAAGAAGCAAAATAAAAACCCCAGGTCTTAAAAATGGGATTCAATCTTTTGATCTAGAGATAAACCTCAGTTAACTGTAATATTTATGCAGACATGACGCAGGCTAAATCAGTCCTGCTCTGTAGAACCAAGCCTGGAGGGGTCTGTAGGGCTCTTGTGGAGCAGATAAGTCAATCATCTCGTTAATTTAATCTCACGAGTCACTTAAATTTATCCTTTTAGACTGCACTTGAAAAGGAATGATATGTGCAATTTTTTTTACTAGTTTTTCTAGACTTACGTCTTGAGGTTTGCTGATTTCCTCATTTTAGCTAAAACAGGTTAGCCAAATAGTTTTGGCTAAAATGGGGAAGTATTAAAATTGGTCCTTGTTTAGCACGAAGCAATTTCCCCCAAGATTGCATTAATGTACAAACAACTCCAAACCTGAGGGTCCTTAATAATGAATAGTAGTTATGCACATTTTTGTTCGTTTTACCTAGAGTGTGAGAAATTAAAGCAAATTGGAAAAATTGAGTTTGAAGAAAATAGGTAGTTGATTTAATGGTAAATATTTGTTGACTTCATTTATCAGGTTAGATCCAGTAGTAAAAGAATCATCCAGATGGTCCTTTAATGTTCCTTTCAATACTAAGATTTCATGAAATATCTTCTAAAGAGGAGTAGGTGGTGTAGGAAGAAAATTAATGTGCTATTTTAGCTTCTAGGGAGGAGAGAGGGAAGCAGTTATTTTTAGAATATGTTCCAGTTACACCCAGTTTTAGGAGAAATAGAGGAGTGTATTTTAATGTCAGTGATTCCTTCAGGGTGATGAAGTCTATGGAAACACAGCTTTCAATTTTTTGTCTCTGTGATTCCAAAGAGCAGACTTTTAGTTAAAGCGTGTGCGCGCGCGCTTGCATACATATATCTTACCACACAAATGGGAGTTTGGGTGGAAAGCATGAATATATCAGCAAAGTGTCTTGGATAAAATGTAACTAGACTTTAGTCCACTATTTATGTGAAAGTGCTGCCAAATTTAGCATTCTTTATGTTGGGGGAGCTAAAGAGGGAAAATAGTTGAAACACAGGAAAAGATGAAAGAAATTACTTAAATTAGGGAGGGGAAAAAACATTGAATCACTATTAATGTAATAGCATGGGATAACAGGGCAAGCCAACAGGAGTGTTTCCCCAAAATTAAAGGCAAATATGAACTCTGCCGTAGCAGAAAGTCTTAGTGTTGCACACTCTGCCTCAGTTTTTTAAGAAGGATTACATAATTTTATAATTAGATTTTCTTGTGTTGTAAACCAAGAGACTGCACGTACAGTGCAGAATAAACCTGCCTGTCTGAGCCCCAGAGAACTCTGCCATGGCCTCTGTGTACCAGAGAATCCCCCTTACCCCCACTGTTCCCAGGGTCAATCACTGATTTAAGTCTGCCAAGAACCATTCATACCCCAGTCCATGTACAGCATGCAAGCAGGGGTGGTCAGTGTGTGTGTGTGTGGGGGGGGGGGTGTCATAAAAATTGCCTTTCATCCAGCCTTGAAGTATTTACACAAATATTGATTCTGGATGTGAAAGGATGGTTTCTGAACTAGAGCAATTCCTTCCAATATATAAAAAGCAGTAATAATTGGGTGTGGACTTCACATACCAATTTATATGATAATTTGATGAAATACATATCTATCATAATATCAACTTGATATTTATTTAAATGTGCAAACATGAACAAATCCACCCACAAACGCCTTTGTGGGCAGGATTTTGGTTCTGTTGATGCATAGTTGGGAGGTTAAACAGACAGAACTTCTGCCAGCTGGATGCTTGCTTTCTCTCCTCTCTCACTTCTGTTTGACAGCCCTTCCTGGTGGCTGCCCAGGTCCCTCCTTCCCTCTTCCCTCCAGCCTTCCCTGTGAGGCTCCCAGAACATTCAGTCCTTCTGGTCATGGGATTTCACTAACCTTCACTACGTGTGGGTTCCTGCTTACTTACCTGAGTGAGCCGTTATTCGAATTGTACACATTTTCCTTTGTGAATCGTGAGCACACTTCTCATGCTATAGCAGAGAGAAGATGGTGGGAGATCCTTTGGAAACCCAGGCATTTTTAATTGCATGACTTTATTTGCCCACTTACTAGACATCTCTTAAGCTCCCTCTAACCTGGCCTAGTGTAGGTGTTGAGAGGGTAGCAGTGCTCTCAGTCCCGGAGTTCCGGGCTGTGGGAAGGATCTAGATGGCCTGCTGAGCCCCTCACACACACCCTCTCATTTAATCCTCACAACAGGCCTTGAAGAAAGCTGATTGGTACAGTTTAAGTAAAGTCTTTGACAGTAGAATTCATGCTTTGACCCTTGTGTAGCGTTGTGGTTTTTTTTTTTAAAGGTCTCACATGTTTATTACTGACCCAGCCTACTAGTGCAGAAAAATGCCAACAGAGAGAAAAACCATTCTTCCGATAATTTCCCAATAAAAACACCCAGTTGCCCGACAGTAGTGACCTAGCTTTTCAGGGACGTGGTGAGCTGCGGGCATCCTGGGTGCAGCTGGGTGTGAGGGCCTCTCCCGGGCGACTCCTTACGGGCCCTCTCCGGTGTCTCCTCTTGGAGTTGTGCCTGGTTGTATTACCGGCCTCTGTCCAAATTGAATGGGGAATGGGCTGGTTCTGCCTTGTTTTCTTGGCCAGGAGCCTCTTGCTCCTGCAAGTCTTGCGAGAAGAGTCCACCACACGTGCCCCGACGGCTGAGTCTTGTGCAGCTTTGATGCTGCTCTTCACTCACTCCCTTGCTGGAGTTTCCCTTCACCTTCTGAACTGCCATGTGCCCCTCCTCCCCCAAACCACACTCTTTCCCCGCCCCCTCCCCATCTCCCATGCTCCTCAGCCCTCCCACTGCCTTTCCCCTTTCCCAGTTCATTCCCAGTATGTTGGTTTCTCCCAGCTCCTGTACTTTTTTCCTCTCTTTACTGTTTAACCAAAACCCTGTTCCTGTTCTGTAGCTTCAACTCAGGCTCTTTTTTTGCTTCCCGTTTCCCATGGGTGTTTACCTAGCTTCATATCCCCACGTCTGGCCCGTGGAGGAAAGCCATTGCTGGTAAATGCTGGGGTACTGAATTCTCTCTCCCTTTGCACGAGGAGCTGGCCAAAGCCACTGAGCCACCAGGAATCACTGAAGGGCCCTGGCCCTCCGTCTGCCAGGGGCACCCTCACTGTCAGCCCGGACACCATTTCTTCCTCTTCTCGACTTACCATCCAACCGCATGCTCCCTCCCTCTGCCCCACTAGCAGATTGGTGCCGGGCTATTTTAGCTAGCATCCAGTTTCTTTTCCTAACCAAACTCCTGTTTTCTGAGGTATCAGAGCCCTTGCTTCTGTCAATAGAATGTCACAAAGCTCTGTCTTGGGGATGATGCACATCTGTCAGTAGGCGTGTTGGTCCATTTTTAATTTTCTTGGGGACGCCTCCTTAGGTTGCAAGTAATAGCATAGGCTTTGGAGGAAGAGAATTGAATTGGGATCCAGGCTCCAGCCAGGTCAATAGGGACAGGTTACCCCATTTCTCCGCATCTGGACAGTGAGGTTACTACTCTGGTCCTGAGGACGAGATGAGACTCTCTGGGTGAAGTGCTTCGCGCACTCGCTGACCTTGAGGATGAACGTCCACTGTTACTGTGCGCGCGCGCCACTGTTGTGGATCAGTGGGAAGAGGACGTCAGACCCGAGGACAGGAGCTTTTATATCTCTGATGAAGACAGGAGGTTGACGCTTGTCCGCAGGGAACAGAGGACACTGTCCTTCACGTCACCTCTCTCTCTGAGCTGTAAAGGGAACCATTGATTGGAGACTTTGGGGTTAAAATCATTGACTGGGACCAAGTACGTGGCCTCGTCAGCCTTTCTATCATATTTTCCACATGGCAGCTCAAACAGCCCATACAAAGCCTACATTTTCCATAAGCTGTGTTATTAATTTACTACAGTTGGTTTTATTCTTCTCATGTTTGCCTGGTTGTGTCTGTTTGCCACCCCCTGCTTCCTGCCTCTAACCCGCAGATGGTCTGGCCGGCCACAGCTCATGCCGGGGTTCTCTCCAGAAATGCTCATTAGGGGACCAAAAAGCAAGATGCTCTTTTCTCTCTCTCTCCCTCTCCCTCTCTCTCTCTCTTTATTTTTTTAAAATATATTTTATTGATTTTTTACAGAGAGGAAGAGAGAGGGATAGAGAGTTAGAAACATCGATGAGAGAGAAACATTGATGGATCAGCTGCCTCTTGCACACCCCCTACTGGGGATGTTCCCGCAACCAAGGTACATGCCCTTGACCAGAATCAAACTCGGGACCTTTCAGTCTGCAGGCTGATGCTCTATCCACTGAGCCAAACCGGTTTCGGCTCCTGTTGTCTCTTTGAAGCACATCCAGACCCTGAGGGAGCAATGCGAGGAAAGGCTTTGACACGTTCCTGTGCAGTCCAACACTAACTTCGTTTTCTTCCCCAGGACCTGCAGATAGAACGAGAGAGGAGCTCCTATAACATATCTGGTGGCTGCACGGCCCTCATTGTCATCTGCCTCCTTGGGAAGCTGTATGTGGCAAATGCTGGGGACAGCAGGTAAGCAGACTAAACTCCGGTTCTTACTCATGTCTGTTGCCTTTTGGTAATTTTTATCTTTGGGGGGAAAAAATGATGAGAAAAGAGATAATTCCACTTGGAATTAGGTATTGATAAAGAGACATCTTCTCCATCTGAATACAAATGCATTTAAGAAGAATCATCAGGGGTACTGAAATGTAAAGGTATCTTGTCAATAGTAGCAGTTCACATATACCTTAATGTAAACCGGTAGTATCCACATGGATTTTTACTTCATAACCTGGTTTTTAATAAAAGCTTAGCAGAGGTATCATACATGAGAGTGACGAGGAGGGAGGAAAGAAATGGAATGAAGTGGGTGTTTGGAAGGAACACTGGAGGACTCTCCAGGTGGTTCCACTGCTCAGTGACTGTCCCCTCCCAGAAGCCCATAAGTTTTTCCTTTTATGCGCATGCCCTTAGTGGCTGCCTTCTCCTCTCTTCCAGGTTCTACTGAAAGTCCAGGGGGTTATGATTAATGATTATCTATCCAGCATTATGAGGAGTGAGATCAACTTGTGTTTCACTTTTATTTTAAACTAGAGGCCTTGTGCACGGATTTGTGCACAGTTGGGATCCCTTGGGTTGGGCCTGCAGACATCTCCAGAGGGGTCCCAGATTGCAAGAGGGCACAGGCCAGGCTGAGGGACCCACCAGTGTACAATTGGGGCCAGGAAGAGACTGCAGGAGAGCTCCAGGGTATGTCCAGCCCATCTCACCCCAGCTGCAAGCTAACCTACCCATCAGAGCGTCTGCCCCCTGGTGGTCAGTGCACATCATAGCTACCGGCTGAACAGTTGAATAAAGTTGACTGGTCGTTTAGGCTTTTATTTATAGATAACTGATGTGTCTACACGTTAGGTGTGGATAATTTTTAAATTATAGACTGTGAAAAGTGTTCTAATATTTATTGCATAATACTCTGCCCATTTAATAACAAAGGGTGTTGGCCTTATAGCAGGGCTCTTGCTAAGGACTGACTCTTTATTCTGAAAGGAGTCAAAGTGATGGACTCCAACCATATTGTCCTCAGCGGAGCGACTTCCTACACAGGCCAAGACCTTAGGATGCTCCCATTCCTGTCCTTCCCTCTCCTACCTGTGTGCTCTGGCCCTGCTTGAGACATTTTCCTCCTTGCCTTCCCCCACCCCTCCCCTGTCTCCATCAGGTTGTGGCCTAGAAGACCAGCTCCCTCAGGCAACCAGAAAATTCTCCTTAACTTTACAGTCATAGGTTGCTTCACAATAGGAAGACATTCTGAGAGAGGTGTTGTTGGGTGACTTCGTGTTGTGTGAACATCTCAGAGTGCACCAGCACACACCTGGATGGTATAGCCTACTGCACACAAGGCTGTACAGTATGAGCGTATAGACCACCTCACATCTGTGTTCGGTTGGTCATTGACCGAAATGAAATGCCGTCATGTGACTCTTGATGGTACCTCCCACTTACAATGCAGGTGGAGTCTGAGGGAGCCTCCATTCCCCCGGGCAGAGCATCCGTTCCCCGTTTTGCTGCTGAAGATCATGGGAGCCAAAGGAGAGGGAACTGCCAGGGCAGCAGTATTTGGGGTTGGAAGCAGGTGTTTTTGAAAGTGTGTTTGTGTTTAAAGCGTATGTGGATTTCCGCTCTACTCTGTAAGGTATCTCAGCTTCAACATAAAGTTTCGTACACGCTGCCATGTTTATGCCACGGTCTCCATTCCCTGGTGTCGCTTCAGGGTCCTGGCAAAAGAGGGACTCCAGTTTAGAGGCGGGGTCCATGGAATGGAGACATGAAAGGGAGACAGCCAGGAGCGAGGAGGCCCAAGAAGGCATCTATCTCCCTCCCCCAACCCCCTTCCTGCCGGGCCTGCAGGGTCCAGGGAGCAAATGCTCCCGCAGAGCCAGGGGGCTGGGGCCACAGGCGAGGGCCCTGGGCAGGGGCTGTAGGAGAGAATGGGAAGAAATACTCTGCCGTCTCTCTTCCCATCCCCATCCCTTGCCAGGCTTCCCATTGGATGAGCACAGGTGACAAGGGGCCCAGGAATGCAGGTCACAGAGGCCAGTGAACCGGGGCACAGGCCCAGGCACAGGCAGAGACTGTGTCCCTGGGGTGGGGGCGGCAGAGGATAACCAGCACGTCCGCCGCTCCTTTTCCCTTGAAGACAGGAACTCTCCGTCTTCAGGGGCCTGTAAGACACACACTGAGGATCCAGCTTCTGGGCCTCTTGTTCTGTCCAGATCTTGAGCTTTTTGGGAGGCAGATGAGCAGATAAAAGGAGTGATGCCCTCCTGTTCTGAGTAGCACTGAATCGGTGGTTCATATGCACCTTCTGTCAAACGTCTGGTTCTGTGGCCTTTGACATGAGTTTGCCTTCCCAGCCCTTTCAGGGGCTGAGGTGGTGCAGGGCCCTGCTCCTGGGGAGAGGCCCCACCCCTTATCCCAGATGACCCCAGACCCAGAAGGGCACTCAACTCTGCCCCAGAATATCCTTATGTTTGGTTATTCTTTTTAGAGACAGCGCCTCTCCTTAACACCTTTTTCTCCTTTTGGAACGTGATTTTCTTCAAAGCTCTAAGCTCTTTAATTGAGCCCCCACTAGCCAGGCCTCTGATCCTCATCCCCAGTTCAGCACCTGCCAATCCTGAGCATTCATCTTCTGTACTCTTGCCTTTTTAAAAAAATATATTTTATTGAATTTTACAGAGAGGAAGGGAGAAGGATAGAGTGTTAGAAACATTGATGAGAGAGAAACATTGATCAGCTGCCTCCTGTAAACCTCCTACTGGGGATGTGCCCGCAACCAAGATACATGCCCTTGACTGGAATCGAACCCGGGACCTTTCAGTCCGCAGGCCGACACTCTATCCATTGAGCCAAACCGGTTAGGGCCTCTTGCCATTATTTATTTATTTATTTATTTATTTATTTTAATATATTTTATTGGTTTTTTTTGCCCCTCTCCTTCCCATACATACCCTCCCTCCCCAGAGTTTTATGTCCATTGGTTGTACTTAGATGCATGTATACAAGTCCTTCATTTTTTAAACAAGTGCCAGTTTCTAAATCAGATCTTGACTCCCTCATCTATAGGAAAAGGTGGTAGGCATTGTACTAAATCTCTAAAATTCCTGGCATTCTCATGACTATCCTATGAGAAGTGACACTTTGGGACAGTAAAGTGGTCTCTCAAGGTGGTTCTTTTGGTTATTTTAACTTTCTTAGAGTCACTTTTTGAAGTTTTAGTAAATGAGGCTTCCGTGTTCTGAAGGGTCTGCAAAAGCATTCTCTTTTACATGTTACTTCCAGTGATTGTATCCTTATTAAAGCTGTAAAGCACCCAAAGAAAGAATCACCCTGTGGCAAAACAGCATCTCCAAAACCTAATAAGCTTAATTATATTTATCGTCTCCTGGCTCCAGTGTCCGGATATGAATTTGGGGTTTTATGGCTGGTTGGTCGGGTTTGCTGTTCACTCGCGGGTCACGTGTCCTGCTGGAGCCTCGGAGAACTGTGAGCTGGCCTTTGTATGCGCCACCCAAAGGGTAACTCAGAGGACACTTACTCATTAGGGCGCTATTTTCAGCTCTTGTATGAACAATAGATATTTCATAGCCTCTTATATGGAATCCTTGTCCAGGTTACATGCCAATACTACGTTGTAAGTATTTGAGTTTACAAAGATATTCAATTAATCCCAAGAAACAGCAGTCTCATAACTTTGGTCCTATGTAAACGTAGGTCCGTTATCACTAGTGGGTAAATAACCTTGAATCGAGGGCTCCGGGCAAACAAATGAGTAGAGCTGACAGAAGATTCTGCACCAGGGCTCTCATGAAGGAAGCGCTGGTTTTTGTTCTTGACTGCCAGGTCCTGGCTGCTGTGTGTTTGCTGTAAGTCCTGACAGCTTTGAGAGGGAAAGCAGACCTTTGTCGTAGGCCCACTACCTCGGGATGACGCCCTCAGGAAAAGAGCTGTAGGCACTGGTTTGATTCGGAAGGCACATGTGTTCAGGAGCTGTTTTCTAAGCCACTTAGCTGTGGCTCATCTGCTGGGGCTTGTGTTCAGGTGAAGCCTGGCGATGTTTGTGGTCACTGGTGCTGGCATCAGCGACCAGCCTGGGGTCAGATGGCCCACAGCGGTGCCCGGGGACTGGTCCGCAGCCTGGGACGGACTTCCCCCTTTCCCCACAGCTGAGATAACCAGCCTGAGGCACATGCCCTAACTACTTAGTGCACACCAATCGCTTCATTTCTTCCCAGGCAGAGGCAGCCAAGTCTGCACCTCGGGGACCCTGAGGACCCAGCAAAGAACCAGATGGTGGGCGGGTTTCCACTTCCAGCACAAAGGAACTGGTGGCATGCAAATGCCATGCAAAGCAGTATGCAAACGATCACCCATTGTGTTCCAGTCATCCCCTCTTGGGACTCCGGAGATGATTCTTCCGTTTAAGAAGACGTGTTGACTCCGTTTTACACAACAATTCAATCGTGTTTCTAGAGCCATGGCACTGAGGCGGCAAAGTCGTTAGGCCTTATTCCAACCAGTGTCTCAAGGTGTAGCAACTGGGACTAGGGGAACTCATCCACATTCAAGAAGCCATCTAATATTTGTTAAGCTCAGGGTCTTGCCCTTGCCAGATTCATAGTAACAGCAGGAATAAGACATCTAATAAGTGTTGGGCTCATGGTAAGAACTGTAACAGAATCCTGTTTAATTCTCCCAGCAAATGGAGTGAGAAGTGGGCAGCGTTAATATTCCATGCAGACTGCGGCTTGAAAGATGAGACAGAGGGCCTGAGACCAGGACACAGGCTGTATAGGGGAGAAGACCCCTGCCGGGCCACCTTCCAGAGGGAGAAAGAACACACCTGCAGTGGGGAAGGCGCCTTTTGAGGGGAGGAAAGGGAAGGGATGGGGCTTAGGGCACTCGGCACACGCTGATTGGTGGTTTCATATAAGGCACATGATTAGGGACTTAGGAATTGGGGGGGTATT